CGCACATGCACGAACGCACGCATGCATACACACATGGACGGATGCATGCATGCAAGGACGTATATGCACACACGCACGCACGCACGCATGCACGCATGCACATGCATGGACGGACGAACGGATGCACACACGGACGCATGCACGGACGCACACACGCACGCATGCAGATGCATGCACGCACGGATGCAAGCACGCACGCACACGCTCGAACGCACGCACGCACGCATGGATGGACGCAAGCACGCACGCACACGCACGCATGCACGGACACACACACGCACGCACGCACGCACTCGCACGCACGAACGCATGCACGCACGGACGCACACACACGCACGCATGCACGCATGGATGCACACATGCATGCACGCACACGCACGCACGGACGGACGGACGGATGCATGCACGCATGGACGCACGCACGCACACGCACGCACACGCACGCACGGACGCACGGATGCACGCATGCACACGCACACACGCACAGATGGACGCACGGACGGACGCACGCACACGCACACGCGCAAGGACGGACGCACGCACGCACGGACCCACGCACGCACGCACGCGCACGCACACGCACGCGCATACGCACGGATGGACGCACCCACGCACGCATGCGCACGCACGGACGGATGCACGCATGCACATGCACAGACGCACGCATGCATGCACGCACACGCATGCACGCACGCGCATGCACGCACGGACGCATGCACACATGCACACGCACGCACGCACGCGCGCACGCCCGGACGTGCACATGTACGCATGCACACGCACCCACGCACGCACGCACGCATGGACGGACGCACGCACGCATGCACACGCACGCACGCACGGATGCACGCGCACGCACGCACGCACGGACGCACCCACATGCACGGACGCACGCGTACGCACGCATGCACGCATAGACGGATGCGTGCACGCATGCACACGCACCCACACACGCACGCACGCACGCACGCACGCATGCACACGCACGCACACACGGATGGACGCATGCACGCACACACGCCGGCGCGCACACCTGACGCACACATGGACAGACGCACGCACGCACACGCACCCGCAGGTACGCACGGACGCACGCATGCAGGCACGCCCGACGCACCCACGGACGGACACAGGCACGCACGCACGCATACGCACACCCACGCACGCACGGACTCATGCGCACACACACGCACGCGCGCACGCACGCCCGACGCATGCAGGGACGTACGGACGCATGCACGCACGCATACGCACACCCACGCACGCACGCACACATGCCTGACGCATGCACGGACGCCCATACGCACGGATGCACGCACGCCCGCTCACCGGCCGCATGCCCGACGCACGCGTGCACGCACGCTCAACGTACGCACAGATGCACGCACACACGCAAAACCAATACAGCAGCAAACGCACAAACGAGATAGTAGTTATTGCGAGAATGATAAGGATCGGAAGGAGGGAGAGAATGGAGAGGTGCACCTAGGTGTAGTGAATCTCACCTGTAGTTGCTGTTGGTGGTATGCTCGCTCACCTGTAGTAATGTTAGGAAAGGTGACAAATGGTGTCACGACGAACCAAAGCGCACAGCGCCAGCATTCTTGGCGCCAGCCCACACGGCGCAAGCGCGCATGGCACCAGCATGCAGGGCGCCCACGTGCTCGGCACCAGCGCGCATGGCACCAGCGCCGGCGCGCACGGCACCAGCGCCGGCGCGCACGGCGACAGCGCCAGAACCAGCGCCAGCGCCAGCAGCATGGCGCTGGCAGCTGAATCTCGCCAACAGCAGCAGAGTATCTAGCAACTTAGTTTGCTAAGCAGCCAAGAAAATCTACCTTAGTTTGCTTCCTAGCACCTAGGTCTAGATCATGACAAGCATCATAGGAGCAGAAACCCTAAAACCGTTTTTTTTTATCGAGGAGTAGGTGGTTGGGAACTCTACTGGAAGTCGCAGAAACTGGAGGTTAGGAGAGGTTCGACTTTCCAACCAGCCCTAGCTATCTTCGCTATGAATCGGATTCACTAGTACTCAAAAGTTTTGAGACCCTAAAGACATTACGAATTGAGAAGCGCATATATTTAAAAAAAAAAAAAAAAAAAAAAAAAAAACGGTTTTATTGCCACCTATGCAACCCCTCTGACGTTTTCACGTCAATACTTGTTTTCATGAATAGGAGGCAATATCCCGAAGCTCACCAAAACGCCATCGCCACGACAAGCATCTTAGGAGTAAGGTCGATGCATTACGTGTTACACACTCAAAACTCGAGGTTTTTTCTTTTCTTTTCTTTTCTTTCTATCTTTCTTTCTTCGGGAAATCAAGCACTATAAGGCGTATTATAGTGCAAGAGAACCTCAGTCATAACTGTGAAAACGGGCCCGATACAAGCCGTGCCCGTATCACCTCTACGGCGGCTGATGGCTTGTCCTCGGGTCCGTCCAGATGGATTGGAACCCACTGTTCCACCTCAACAGCTTCGATCGTGTGCCACATATCCGACCTATGACTTTCGCCTCGTCATCTGCCAGGTGGCTCCACCTCATGCTACTCATCTTATGCTGCTTATCCGTTGCTGCCCGTATCTTGCATGCATTATACACCCTCACATGGCCATGAAACGCCATCGCCACTTGCTGCAAAATCTTCCTAACCTATATTTTCTTGTTCCGGAACACTGCGTTACACCTGTCCAACCACAGACGATGCAAAGTGACCGCCACCATCGGTGCTTCTGGAAATCCCGACCTCGTGCCACCCATTTGGAACAGTAAGTCCCCCAATGACGCCACCTTCCGCGTCGGATTCGTCATGCGCACCGCCCTCTTGAGCGTGCCGATGACTGACTGGATCCTCAGGCACTTGTAGAGGCAATGCTCCATCGTCTCCTCTGCATTGCAATGCGGGCAGTTGCCCTTGTCCCCCAAAAGGCCAACCCCTTCCCCACCTACAGGTTAGAACTGTGCAACCGCAGTCCCTTGCTTTGCCCGGAGTCACCAACAAGTCCCTCCTTTGTATCACCTTGCTCCACTCAATTCTCTTACCCCACATCTCCTCCCAGATCAACTATTGCTTTGGCCTATCCTGTCTGACCATCAGCGTCTTCCTCAACGACTTAACCCCGGCCGGTAGCTGCTCCACACACAAATCAGTGCATCTCAGTCTCGTTCTTGGAGCACCCAGCGAACCTAGCAACCTGCCATGTACCAGCTTTAACGGCACCACCTCAGTTGCCTGCATCTCTCTTCTTTGTTGAACCCCCGCCGATGATACCAGCCCGTCACCATCCAGGGACACCCTAGAGCAGAGCAGCTTCCCCTGATCAACTTAAGTCATCAGCCATAACGGGTCCTCCACCCCCGACCATCCACTTCTTCCAATCACGATCGAGACCCTCGCAATGTCCTCCGCACGCATCTGCCCCAGCAACGCTCGCCTCTATTCCTCAGGTGCCGCTGCAAAATCCTTTTCCGCCGCCGCTGCTCTGAGCCCCCCTCATAGCTCCTTCGGAAGCTGCCACCTATCCTTTTGTACCAGGCTACCGCCCTCGCCTTTGGTCACCAGGTCCCCCATCGTCACACTGATTATCTCCACCGTCTCCTTTTGACAGCCGAAAGGGCTATTGCCCCTGAAAATAATCCTCTTGTTGAAATTTAGATGTTCCTGCCCCACCTCCCAATGTATGCCTGACGTTGCGACCTCCGCCAGGCTTGACTTCATGAAAACCCCCACCGCCCCCCTCCATCTTGCACTGCCCCCTTTCCAGTAATTCAAGATCGCTGGGTGCGCATAGAAGGTCGCATAACCCAACGGCATCCCTGGCGCCCTCTCCGCCAGCCAACGCCTCATGGGGTTGGTTTCTTGAAGCAGATTCCCAATCATTCTCAACACCCAACTCTCCACTCTGGTTCTTGGTTCTATAACTCCCAACCCCCCTTCCTTCCGTGGCAGATACATTAGCTGGTAACTCCAGAGCACGAACAGCTGGTCCCTCGACGCATGTCCTCCGAACACGAAGTTATGCCCCAGCTTCCGTATCTGCTTCCACATCGACATCGGTGGCGGTTACACCTGCGCCTAGAAAAGCGCTATGGGCATCACGTAACTGTTGAGGATCGTGACCCGCGCCAACGTGGAGAGATGTTGCGCCTCCCACCTCTGCAAAGTCCCCCTCATTTTATCCAGGGCCCTTCCCAACGATGACCCCGTGTCCACACTTGCTGAGACCCATATTCCCAGCAGTCGTTCCGGCTCTTCCGGGTGCGCCCACTTGAACACTTGTCACGCAGGCGGCGCCATGGTGCGATTCCGACCCAGCGGAATCACCACCGACTTCTCCCAGCTGGTACATAGGTCCAAGGTGCTTGCAAATTCTTTCAACACCTCCTCCGCGTCTGCCAGTTGACCCGCCCCTTTCAGCATGAAGATCGTGTCATCTCCATACCCGAGGTATGCCAGCCGCCCGACCCCCCTCTTGCTAATGCCCAGCTTAATTGGTTTCTTGAAGCAGATTCCCCCTCTTGGTTTCTTGCTAATTTCTCTCGCGCTCGCGCAAGGAACGTAACAAAAATAAGCTAGCTTAAAATTCGGCAGTGTCCGTGTTTTTTCGTGTATTTTAAAAATTAGGATGAAAAATAAATGGTCCTATTGATTGCAATAGTTTGCTTCGCAACCAAAAAAAAAAAAAAAAAAAAAAAAACATGTATCTACAATCAAGACATGTCGAAAACCTTGTACCATTTTGTACTATTTTTGTCCCCAAATACCATTTTGGAGGAAAAATTTAGCAGGAAAATGACCCATAAATCTAGCACCAAATGCCTTCATTTTATACAAAGCAGGTTATATTTGGGTTTTAAATAACAACTTATTTAGCCAAATCTTTTATATGTATTCCCCATCATTTCCTAACGAGTTATCACCCGCATCACCAGGTTCGCTGCATCTGGAAACCATAGCCACTGTGATTTCTGCGTCTTTGGCGTCTGCGCTCTGGATCCTCCTCACAGCTCTCCTCTCACCTGCCTAACAGCACATTCCAGTATCATGATGGATCCATTAGAGAGGTCTTGCTGTCAGTTCCTTCCAACATTCTACACGTGACGCCTCTTCACCTGGAGCAAGCGTGCTGTCGCTTCCTGACCGCCGCCTCATGCAGTCAGTCAGGCAGATCCTAGCGAGCGCCCGCTGTGACCGAGTAGACTCGTTTCGCCGGCTGCTCTCATCCATGGCGTCCTTCGCCACCGTGCCGCCCAGCGAGGCGAAGACGCTCCTCGAGGCCTCGCACACATTCCTCGACGTCAGGTTGCGTCTTTAGCCCTTCTTACTCTTCGTCCTGCCGCCATGTTTCCCTGCCCACCCCGTCCTATCTCGTCTTGTTTTCCCTCGCGTCCTTGTCTCCCCGCTCCTGGCGCACATCTTGTGGTATCGTAGCCTTCGCGGATCGGAATGGGCCAGAGATCGACCTCATGAGCGAGCCGATGGGAGCGACAGAATACGCGACGGGATGAGCGACTGGGTGAGCGACAGCACTCGCTGATCACTCGCTGATTACGGTTCAACATGCCACTGGTGCCGGGTTTTCTGATTCCGTTGTCCCCTGGAATGCGTAACCAATGCACGATGATTGACGTGATGATTGACGTGGCAGAACGGAGGAGGAATTTGCCAAGAGCCACGTGGCAGGTGCTGTGAACGTCGCAGTGATGACAGGCGATCCCCATAAAGGTGAGCCCAGTGCTCCCTCCCGGGGCGCATGCACGCATGCTTTCACACGTGCACGCATGCTTTCACACGTGCGCGCATGCACGCATGCTTTCACACGTGTGCGCATGCACGCATGCTTTCACACGTGTGCGCATGCACGCATGCTTTCACACGTGCGCGCATGCACGCATGCGTTCACACGTGCGCGCATGCCGCATACGTTCGCACGTGCGCGCATGCACGCATGCGTTCACACGTGCGCACATGCACGCATGCTTTCACACGTGCGCGCATGCACGCATGCTTTCACACGTGCGCGCATGCACGCATGCTTTCACACGTGCGCACATGCACGCATGCTTTCGCACATGCACGCATGCTTTGGCACATGCACGCATGCTCACATGCTTTCACACATGCGCACATACACTCACGTCTTCACGCGTGCGCACATACTCGCATGCTTTCACACATGCGCGGATACCCGCAAGTTTTCACACATGCCCCCATACACGCACGTTTTCACACGTGCGCACATGCATACATGCCCTCACACATGCGTGCATACTTGCTTGCTTTCACACATGCGCCCATGCTCGCATGCTTGCACACATGCACACACACTTTCACACATGCACCAATGCACTCATACTTTCAGACATGCGCACATGCACGCCACTCCCGGACATATGAACACGCCCTTGTCGACATGCACGCTGGGGTGCATGTGTTGTAGCATGTTTGCGTGCAAGAAATGTGCAACATGCCATGCCCAGTCACCCATGCCACGACCTGCCATGCCATGCCAACCCTCCCTGCTGATGGTTGGCTGTCGTCCTCTCTGCGTAGCACGTGCGTCCGCTGCATCTTGCCACTGGCTCGTCTGCCCTCTTCACACAGAGCGCAAGGTTTTCTACATGGTGTCTTGTCTTGTGCTCCCTCAGCACACGGCTGATGCCTTTCTCTCCCTCCCTCACGCGCTGTTTCTTCTGTGTGTCCTTTCCATGTGCTTATAATTGCCACGTTAGGCGCACTGAGACACGCCCAGTCAAGAGCAGCTTCTTCCTTCCTGCGAGACCAACGTGTGCTTCCCACCGCTGCTTTCATCCCTGTGTCCGTCTTCCCCATGCGTGTGGTTACCACATCACGTCAGGTGCGAGTGAGAAGCGCAGTGACTTCCTCGACATAGTCAAGAGCAAGTTCAAGCCAGACACGCCCCTCGTTGTCGTGAGTGCCCCCCCCATAGCAGTCGCACGTGCAGCTCCCCCCTCTCTCTGCTGCTGTCTTCTCCTCCTCTCGCCTTCCGCCTCATGCTTTCCATGCGATTCCTGTCTGTCCTCCCTTCCCACTTCCTTTTCCTTTCCTGCATCCCATTTTCCCGTCTCCTTTACCAAACCCACCTTCGCCTCTCTTCCCTTCCCATATCTCTTTTTCTTGTCCCTCTTTCCCACCCCTCCTGTTCTTTCTTCTCCCGGTGTTTCTTGTCCTGCCTGCAGTCCTGTGGGGCGGGGAGGAGGGCTGCTGTTGCGGCAACTGACCTGGTGGAAGCGGTGAGCCTGGCGCTGCGATTGGGAATCGGGCATGGCATGGGGCATGGAGGGCATGATGCCGGGAATCGGGAATTGGGGGGTGGGGGGGGGCGGGTAGGGGGGGGTGGGGGGGGGAGAGGACATGGAGGAATGAGAAGGGGAATGAGGGAGATGGTACCTGAGAGTGAATGGGATTTTGGGAGAATGTAGGGGGTATGGGGCAGGCAGGAACGTCTGAACGGCAGCTGGTGGATATTTCTTGATAAGGGATGGGCTTCCAGCATGTGTGAGAGGCTGTCTCCAGGGCATGGTGGGGAGGCATTGCGGGTGGCATGAGTCCATGATACTTGCTGCTGCAGGGGCTTATGGGCTGTCAATCCGTGTGCCACTTCCCTTGGCACACCCTTTGTCATCTGAAATGTGATTGTGCCTTCCGTTTTTTGTAGTCTAACTTGCCATCCCATCCATGCCATTGCAGGGCTTTACCAAAGTGGTCAGCTTGGAGGGTGGTCTCAAGGCGTGGAAGGGTGAAGGGTACGCGCTAGTGGAGTGAGGCTCTCTGGGTTAAGCACCAAGCCTTCGTTTGTCCTGCCATGTCTCAAGATTCCCCTTGTTTTATGGGGTTTTTCTTAGAGTAGCTTAGTGACTAGAACAAAAAGATACAGGGGACATGTAGGGTTGGTGTAGTACCCTCTATGGATACAAACCTATCTAGCTTATAACTTCTCCGTATAAAGCATATGCATAAGTTGACACAGTACCTAGGCAAGATTAGGGGCAGTGCCTAGCAAGCAACATGCAGCTGAGGGTGGCACAACTACTGGTAGTCAAACCTCTGAGGCAGGGGTCCGAAGCAGGCCTAATGTTTCAAGGGTTATTACTCGGATGTAATTATTTTTCAGAGTTTCTCCGGGGTCCAAAAAGGATTTTTTACGAGTGACTTACACAGGGGTTCCAGAACACATACAAGTGTGCTTGGGCCGGGTTCCGGAAGAATCAGAATGCCCCTGTGGGTCTGTGGCCCACAACCCAAAGGAATTTCCCCCACATCCCACCCCCCTCCCCCTCAACCCACCCCCACCCCCCTCTTCCCTCACTTGTTGCTGTTAAAGTAAGAACTGAATGATAAACTAGAAGGAGAAACCTAGAACAAATACTAGTTGGTTGTGTTGAGTGACCCGCTGGGGTTGCCCTTAAGATCCTCGGGGAAGGGCCACAGGTGCAGAGCCTGGGGGGCTATGGGCGCACTTACCCGCTATTTAACAAGCCCTTTTAACCCAGTGGTTAGTGACTGGGTTTCTGACAGGTTGTACTCACTAGAAGCATACCCCAGTCTAGCCTATAACTTCTACATAGCTAATATGTATAAGTTGACACACCCCCTAGGCTAGACAAGGGGTGAAGCTAAGCAAGAAGCAAACAACTCAGGGTGGCACTACTAGTCCAACCACTGAGGCAAGGGTCTGGAGACCAGTCAGCAAGAGTACAAACAAGACTAAAGCAAGCCAGGGTGGCACTACTAGTCAAGCCACTGGAGGTAAGGCCACAAGGCCAGTCAGACAGATATAAATAGTAGAGAGTACACAATCAGGGTCCTAACAATTGAGAAGTGACAGGAACAAGACCAAGCTGGACACAGTGCCGCTGATGATCTTTAGGCGCAAGCGCCTTAGTAAAGATATCAGCTGTGTTGGCACCTGAGGCCAAGTGAACTACGCGGGCCTGGCGGCGCTGCTATAATTCGCGCAGGAGGAAGTACCGCAGCAGGATATGCTTCGCTCTGCCCTCAAGTCGAGGCTCCTGACACAGGAGTATCATGGCCTTGTTGTCAGCGTACAGGACCGGGGCAGAGCTAGGCCGCTCACCTAAGTCTGTGAGCAAGCACATCAGCCAGCGGAGCTCCTGTGCCGCCATGGCACCGGCGTAGATCTCAGCCTCACAGCTGGACTGAGCCACAGACGACGAGCGAGTGGATCTCCAAGAGATAGCACCCGAACCAAGACTAAAACAGTAGCCCTGCGATGACCTGAGCGTCTCAGAGTCGTCTGCCCAAGAAGCGTCTGTGTGCCCAGTAAGGACCACTGGCCTGCGTCCTCCTAGCACTAACCCCATGCCCGATGTACTAGCAAGATAATGCAAAACCCTCTTAGCGGCAGACCAGTGCTGAGGTCGGTGTCTGCCTGTAGCCACAAAGCGAGTCAGGATGCTGAGAGGGTATGCGAGATCTGGGCGAGTGCAAGTCATCAGGTACATGAGGCAACCCACCAGCTCTGCGTAGGGGCCACTGGGCTCTACTGGCTCCTCAGGAACGGGAGCGGAGAGCCCATGGTCTACAGGTAGAGGTGTGGGCTGTGCGGAGGAGAACTGAAGACCGAACCTTTGAAGGACCTAACGCACCAAGTGTGACTGGGTAAGAGTGATGGTGCGTGCTGCTCTGTCCCTAGAGATCTGCAGGCCAAGGTAGCGACGCAGCTCTCCAAGGTCAGTACAGGTGTGTCTCTTCAGCAGCTCGGCCTTCACAGAGGCCAGTGCGTCCCTGTCAGCAGTAGCGAAGACCAGGTCGTCTACGTAGACAAGGATGTAGAACGGAGTCTGGCCGGAACGCACAAACATCGAGGGGTCAGCAGAGGACGGAAAGAACTGCAGGTCTGCTAACGTGGCCCGCAGCGTGTTGTGCCACTCGTGAGGAGTCTGACGCAGGCCGTAGACCGGGCGCCTGAGAAGCCACTGGGTCCCAGGGGGGAAGGTACCAGTGAAGCCATGTGGTCGGCGCAGGTAGACCTGCTCGTGAAGGCTGCCCTGAAGAAAGGCAATAGAGAAGTCGAGGAAGTGAAGCTCGTAGTCGCGCTGTGCTGCTACGTGTAGCAGCGCCCGAAGAGTGGTCATCTTCGGGGTCGGGGCGAAGGTCTGGAAGAAGTCAACCCCCTCTCGCTGACTGAAACCTCTGGCCACGTAGAGCGCCTTGAAGACAGGCGGCTCTCCAGGGGGGCGCTTCACCTTGAAGTGCCACCGACCATCGACTACATTCACCCCAGGCGGGGGAACTGCGTCGACGTAAGTGCCGGTGGACCTCCAAGATGCCATCTCCTGCTCCATAGCTATCCACTGAGAGGCCCCAGGTCCCGAGGTGGCCTCAGCGTAGGTGCGAGGGGTCGGGATGTCGAAGGCGTCTGGGTCACCCTCAGGGACTAACAGCATGGAGCAGAGATGGGGAGCAGCCTCGGAAAGGAAAGCAAGCTCGTACTGCCTGTCCTCTAGGGCGTCCCCACCAAGGGCAGGAGCACCCCCGACGGACGGAGGACGGGCAGGGTCAGAGACCAGAGCGGTAGCGTAGTCAAGGCGGCGGGTAGAGGCAAAGTCAGCGACAGCAGCGACAAGCGCGTCAAGGCGGGAGACTGGAACAGAAGGGTCGGTAACAAGAGAGGCAAGGACCCGAGGGACAAGGGGACGAGCGGCACGGAGGTAGTCAGAGAACGGAGGAGGTGCAACAGCAAGGGACGAGGGAGGAAGGGACGGGAGGAGGGGAGGACGAGATGAGCGGGAACGGAGCAACATAGGGTGGGAGCGAAGGACAGGAGAGACGGGACAAGCACGGGAGGGACGGTGAGACCAAACGTGGGACGGAGGTGTAGGGTCAGGGGACAGCGGAGGGGACACAGGAGGGGAACAAGGAGGAGGAAGGGCCGGAGACGAGTCTGGCGGCAGGAACATAGGACCGTAGACAGGAAGGTCAGCAGGCAGTGGGGGAGACACCGACGAGCGGTCCGGGGAGGGAAGGCCGAGCAGGCGAAGAGCAGAGACCGGCGGCGACGGCTGCTGCGGCTGCTGCGATGGCTGGGCCGGAATCCTTGGACCGGCAGAGGCAGGACGACCGTCGGCGGAACCCTCAACAGCAGCCCCCCCAGAACCAACACCCCCTGAGCGAGAACCCCCTCCAACACCGGCGGCAACCCTAGAAGCTGCAGGACGAAATCCTCCACACCAGCACCCCCAGGGGCCAAGAGCGGCGGCGACGGCAGCGGCGGCGGCAGCAACGGCGACGGCGGCGGCGTCAACGTCGGCGGCGGCAGCGGTGGAGGCGGCGACTGCGACAGTGGAGGCGAAGACACCGGGGAAGGGGGACGCGGCAAGGACGGGCCGGGGGTACCACCAGAGTCAGCGGACTCCTCAACGGGGACAACCGACGGGAGGGGAGTGACGTGAGAGACACTAGACGGGGCAGGGCGAGGCGGGAGAGGAGCAGGGGCTACCGGGGGAGAGGGAGCAGGGAACATGGGCGGGGCAACCGGGAGACCGCGGTGAGGGAAGCGGCGGTAGAAGGAGACAGACTTGTCAAAGGTGACGTCACGTGACTGGAGGAAGCGGTGAGACGGCGGGTGGTAGAAAAGCCAGTCAGACGAGTCCAGGGGAAAACCGAGGAAGACACAGGGGACAGTGCGGGCAGTAAGCTTGTCCGTGCCAGAGGCACGAACGTGAGCAAGGCAGCCCCAGACGTGGAACGCAGACGCGTCACCCGGGGACCCGGTCCGAAGGAGGGTCGGCGAAACCTGCGGCCGCTGGGAGCGTGGCCACAAGTTAAGCTGGTGAGCAGCGTAGCGAACAGCGAACGGCCACAGAAAATGGGGGGCATCGGCATGAATCATGGAGGTACGGGCGACCTCCATGACCAAGCCGATGCGGCGCTCAGCAACCCCATTCTGCTGTGGCGAGTTCGGCAAGGTGTACGACTGGGTGATGCCCTCCGCAGGAAAGAATTGTCCAAGCCGACCACAGGCAAACTCGCCGCCACGGTCAGAGTGGAGACACAACACGGGGAGACCGCGGTGAAGACGCGCAGCCACAACCCATGGGAGAAGAACGTCGGGCACGTCGGCCTTCCGCTCCAGGGGAAACACCGTGGTGTAGCGCGTATAGTCGTCGACGAGCACAAGGAAGTAGCGCTCACCTCGCGGTCCGGGGACGGGGGCAGGGCCCCAAACGTCCAAGTGCAGGGTCTGAAGGGGGGCAGTAGCAGGGCGCAACGAGGAGGAGTGAGGAGCACGGCGGAGCCGGGCCTCGACGCAAGGCGTGCACGGTGGCGCAATCGAGGGAGGAAGGGCAGGGAGCGATGCAGGGAGGCCTAACACAAGACCGTGCTGAGACATGTGACGCAGACGTGGGAGAGCAGGGTGACCTAGGCGGTGGTGCCAGAGAAGGGACGGGTGAGTGAGGGACCGACACGAGCAAGCTGCAGCGACCTGGGAGGACGCACCAGCCGGGGGGGAAGCGGTGTCGAGGGTAAACTGACCGGACACCGGGTCCTGGGGGAACGTCGCAAGGGGGGAACCGGAGACAGCCTCAGAACAGACAGCGAACCGCTCGTGCCCGAGGAACGTGGTGGTGGCGCCGAGGTCCTGGAGACAGCCGACACCAACCAGGTTCCTCAAGAACGAGGGAACGTGGAGGCCTGTAAGGGAGCCCGAGGGAACTGCTGGACAGGGAAGGGACGTGGAGCTGCGAGCGACGACAGGACCCGCAGAGGGGTCAGCGAGAGAGACAACAGCAGGCGTAGCAAGCGGCGTGAGCACGGAACGGTCGCGGAAGAAGAAGGTAGAAGCACCGGAGTCGAGAGTAAGGGACAGCGAAGCTGTGGCGGAGGCCGGGAACGGAGCCGGTGCAGAGAATAGGCTAGGCAAACTAGGCAGTCCTACGCTTGATGCAGCAGGGGAGGCTAAGCTACACAACGGTGCAACGCCTAAACTAGAGTATACAGGGTAATAAGATCCAGCAACACTAGAAGCGTCAGAATACAAGGCATGCAAAGCAGCACCTATCTTATC